CCATTTTAGAGCTGCGTGATCTGTTCGAATTAGAAACTTGCGTCCGTAGAGATACTTATGAAAATGATTTTACTATGGCAAGCAACTCTCTTCTGGTGACACAATAATTTCGTTCCGGCTTTGATAATGTTCTGCTGTAGTACTCCACGACATGTTCTTGTGAATTTTGGATTTGTGAAAGGACAGCTCCAAGACTGGTGTTACTTGCATCTGTGTCCAAAATCAACATGCCTTTGTGATCAGGATAGGACAACACTGGGCTCGTACATAATGCTCCTTTTAATTTTCTAAATGCGGAATCGCATTCTTGGGTCCAATTGAATGTTGATTTTTCTTCTGTTAATCGATGAAGTGGAGCGGCTATATTGGCGAATCCTTCCACAAATCTTCGATAATAAGAACATAATCCTAGAAAACTCCTTAGTTCATGTTTGTCGCTTGGTTTTGGCCAGTCCCGAACAGCATCTATTTTTCCTTCCATAGCTTGTATGCCCTCTTCAGATACCACGTGACCTAAGAATTCCACTTTCTTTTGAAATAGGAAACACTTATTTGGATTGAGTTTCAAGTTGGAATTCCGGAAGCGGTCAAAAACTTCTTTCAGGTTATTGAGATGTTCTTGGAACGAATTTCCCATAATCATGACATCATCCAAATATACCAGGCAAGTTCTCCATGTAAGGCCTCGCAAAACAAGATGCATCAGTCGCTCAAACGTAGCTGGAGCATTACACAATCCGAAAGGCATTACATTAAACTGGTATAGCCCGCTTCCGGTACTGAAGGCAGTTTTCTCTTTGTCATCGTCATGTATTGCCACTTGCCAGTATCCACTTTTCAGATCCAAGGTGGAAAACCATTTGGAGCCCGATAGAGTTGTTAGTGTATCGTCTATTCTTGGGAGAGGGAAGCTGTACTTCTTGGTGACGTCATTAAGCTTTCGGTAGTCCACACAAAATCTAAGACTCCCATCTTTCTTTGTAACCAAAACTACTGGCGCAGACCATGGACTATTTGACTCTTCAATGATTCCCTCTTGAAGCATTTTATCAATCTGGTTTTCCACTTCCTGTTGCTTAGCTACTGGCATACGTCGTAGTGGTTGTCTAATTGGGTGTGCCAATCCAGGATCAATTTTGTGTTGAATTAAGCTGGTCCGTCCGGTTTGATTGTCCATCACAAATACGTCTGCTTCTTTCAAAATGAAATCTGTGGCTTCTTGAAGTCTATCTGGATCGAGATGTCTCCATGATTTCGCCAAAGCCTGCATCAAGGTGTCTGTATCCAATTTGGATTTCACAAAATGTCGCTTATCTGGTAGGTCACAGTTCGATATTTGCTTTACTGGTTCGAGAGCTCCAATAATGTCTCCTTCTTTTATTCTTACTGTTTCGGGAGAAACATTGGCAATTCTTATCATAATGTCTCCATTTGTTCTTACTAGAGTCTTTCCGACAAGAAATCTTTCTGGTTTATCTCCAATGAAATTTCGTGTTAGCCCAACGTAGCACCCAGGGTTTGTTTCTAATCTTCCGCAAATGATCTTCTCGGTACTTCCAGGAATCCTCACTGGAGTTGTGGCCAAGATCTTAACGGCATCGGATTCTTCTTGTGTTGTTAGGACAATTTCTTCATTACCAAATTTAAGGATGTTCAAGGAAGGATCAAAAGAGAAACCATGTTGGCCGATAAAATCCATTCCCAAAATAAAATCATCTTCTTTATCGGCAACTAATGTTCTATGTCTGAAGGTGGTAGATCCAAAAGTGAGCTCAACCATAGCTTCTCCTTGATTTGGTGCAGATTCGCCGGTGACTGTTCGTAGTGACAGGTTTCTAGTGAGCGGTTGGATTGCCCGAGACTTGACTAATGTTCTTCTAATTATGGAAACTTCAGCACCCGTATCAAAAGTAATGGTTTTCAATTCTCCATTAATTTGTGCTTCGAATTTTAATCCTCTATAATGACTGCCCAATGATTTTATGTACACAACTCTGGGGGCTTCGGGCCAGCATCCTCCCTTCCGTACTAGTTGGTTCCTGTTTGTTATTAGGGCTGGCGTCTCTAGACCTTGAAAAGCGTTGAGAATGATCCCCAGATAGAAAGGACATCCTTAGTCTACAATTCCATTGCATGTGTCCAAGCTTTTGGCACCTGTAGCATTTTACTCGGTTTCTCGGTGTTGGTGTTTGTCTGGAATCGTTCCCCATTTTTCTATCTTCTAGTAACAGTTTCTTTATTCTCTCCATGAAATTACTCATTTTGGCTTCGAAGCTACCATCCTCTTTTGACAACTGTTTATCTTTTGGGTCCTCAATGGACTCGTATTCTGGGTCGCGAGGTACCAACGATTGCTTCTAGTTCTAATGCTCGGACAAGAGCTTCGCTACTTTGTCTGAACTTGGACATTCTCCGGTTTTCCTGGATCTTCGAATCTCTGAGACCATCAATAAATGCAGATACTGCCATCCATTCCTGCATGTCTTCCCCAGCTGCGGGAAACGCCAAACTCACTAGCCTTTTAACTTCCGATTCGAATTCTTGTAGACTCTCGCCGGGTTTTTGAACTCTTGATTTAACTTGAGTTCTGAATACTTCTTGTCTGTGATGGTCTCCGAAGCGCAGTTCTAAAGTTTGACTGAGATGCTGGTAATTCTGTTGGTAGACTGCAGGAATGGACTGAAGAAGGTCTAAGGCAGGTCCTCGTAGCGCTTCAAATTGTCGAATATACATGCTCCAGGACGTAGAACCGTCGAAAGTTGGTGGTTTTATCTTCATACTGGAGAATTCTCCAACACTAGCTGGATTGATGGACTGTATTTCTAATCTACGCATCTTATCTTCGACTGCTTGAACTTGGTCCTCAACTTCTTGTCTTAATTGCTGAACATCGGCTTTGACCTCCGCTTTAACTCCCTGAACGTCGTTTTTAACTTCCTGAACGTCGTGTTTAACTTCTTGCACATCGTCTTCAACTTTTTCAATCTTCTGGTCTAGGTTAGCGACAGTTCCTTGTATGGTTTCGAATATCTTCTGTAGTTTTCCAAGGTCTTCTTGCCGTTCTTGTTGTCGCCTAGCTTCTTCTTCTTGTTTTTCTTTTTGTCGTCTGGCCTCTTCTTGTTGTCGTCTAGCTTCTTCGTCTTGTTTTTCTTGTTGTCGTCTGGCTTTTTCGTCTTGTTTTTCTTGTTGTCTTCTAGCTTCTTCTTGTTGTCGTCTAGCTTCTTCGTCTTGTTTTTCTTGTTGTCGTCTGGCTTCTTAGTCTTGTTTTTCTTGTTGTCTTCTAGCTTCTTCTTGTTGTCGTCTAGCTTCCTCGTCTTGTTTTTCTTGTTGTCGTTTGGTCTCTTGAAGTTCCAACATTTTGCGCAGGAGTTCTTCAACTTTTTGTTCGTCCATTTTGGCTTTTTGCCTTGTGATAGGCATATACAGAATGTTCTAGAATTTCCCTCGAACTTTCTTCAAATATCTTTTCTGGTCTTCGCTCGAAGTTCCAACACGCCGGTGAAGTCACAAATTGGATAACTTGCTTTATTCGCGAATAGAATGTTCTGGAATTTCCTTGAAATTTCATTTCTAGATGTCGATTGATACAGCAAACACGTCGGTGAAGTCACAATTTCAATATCTCCCTTGGTTTCCAAATAGAATGTTCTAGAATTTTCCCGAAACTCCTCGAAAAACCTCTTCTGAATGACGATTGATGTTCTGAGTACGTCGGCGAAGTCACGAATTCGATATCTCCCTTAGTTTCCAAATAGAATTTTCTAGAACTCAATCGAAGATTCACTATCACAGTCTAAATCGGGTATAGAGTCACTTCCGGGGTAATTCACACGATCGGTTAAGTCTCTTTTTGTGATTGTCACTGTTTGCACTGCACTAACTGTCCCAGTGTTCACTTAGTGTTCAGTTTTTACCCTACACTAGTGTCCCCACACTTCCGCAATTGGATTTCACTCTGCAGTCCTTTATATCCTACTTTTGGCACCAATGTCGCGGCTTTGGGTTGCCTGACAGAAATCTTGGGTTCGTTGTTCGTTTCGTTTATTCCAAAAATCAAAGTCCAATTAACACAGCAATAATTTATTCCACTTAACAATACACTCTGACACTAATTACTTTAATAACTAACTCAACTATTAAACTCTTTACAATCACTATTAAAATCGTATCACAGTCGAACCGAAAACTAACTAACCCACAAATCAATGCCGGCCTTCTTATATATCCCTAAATCTATTCCTGTAAAATCTAGAATACACACGATAATCTTATTTTCCAGATTAAAGTAGAATAATTCGCTAGATTCTAGTATTTTCGCCATCGATTCTTGACAGCCTGGCGGACGTTTAGCATTAGTGTAACAATATATTACGTCTTGTCATGTCAAGTGACTATACCGCAATAAGCTTGATGTTCATTGCATCCTTTTATTCCAAATTAAGCTTAATCTGGTGCGTGTAACAGCTTATTTTAGCAAGAGAATGTTATGGTAGCACAATCTATCATATTCTTCAAGCGCTATTTTACAACGACCAAAAATATCACTTGCACCACTTCAATAACTTTTTAGGATAGAGACGGCTCACAAGCGCGTAATGTTCAATTTTCCACCATTTTACCCTTCATGACAGTAAGATTAAACCGAGGATTAAACTTTTTTTTCAAACTCGTCGTAAAAAAGCGTAAACTTCTAAGATTATTTTATTATTTGAACCAATAATAAAACAAGATAAAAGATAGTCAGCAGATAATCCGGTTATACGATGATCCGGTCAATCGGATCAGTGATTTCGAAAATCCAGTGTGAAATTCTGCAAAATCGAAAACAGTTAGCATCGGTACTCGATAAAGGAAGAATGATTGCCCCAAGACCTTCCAAGAGTGGCACTACTCAGTTCGAGTTCATAATGTGCCGCTTCACTCTTGGACGGCACTGTCAGCATAATCGTGCAGTGCTATACTTTAGTGGGCGGTTGGAGAACCATTGCAGCCAGACGTACCTTCATGGCGTCTGGGTGGGTGCCGCCTCTGGGACCTGTCGTGTAGATGGCGTCGGCATGAATGCCGCCCGGCCCAAGTGACGGCGGATGCGAGTTTTGGTTGTTGGTCAGCTGATGGTGGTGAGCGGTTTTTTCTATGTCAAGCTTTTGGCTGGAATAATAAAGCGCTAGTTAATCAAAAATAAATTCTAATGGGTTATGTTGAGTGTTGAGTATATGACTCAGGTTGGTTTTTGGGCTTTAGCGTAAACCCGATATATCGCCCTCTGTCTGGGAACAGTCGCACTCGGGTGCATACGTTATAGGGTGAACAGTGATGTTGGCTCGATGGTACGGGGTAGAGGTGGCATTCAGCGGCACTAGAGAAGTAAAATCAATAGGCCGTGTTGGCGTCGCTTGAGCGAGAATTTTTACACGAAAGAACATGTCGCCGCCCTGAAAAAACTTATCACCTTTGTAGCTTTTAGTGTGTTTCTAAAGTAAAAGCAAGTTTATATTTGAAGTTGATTTCAGTTTATTCGTGAAATAAAATACTGTTAAATATTCCAACATTTTTGCACCGTACCGTTTTCGGTTTTTATTGCGTTGATAAGAACCCCACAGGTTAACTAAGGTAAAAACATGCTGCATTATCAATTAACAGTTAGGGCAGTTCAGTAAGTCAAATATTATTAGGCGGCCCGTTTTGCGCTAACTAAATGTGACTGATACAACCAAGGCATCGGCATCCGTTGGGATCAATCACTTCTCAATAATGCCAGAGCCCAGAAAGCTAGCAGTTTTACTCTCACATATGATAACGGCAGTTATTCGCACCTAGGGTGAACCCCTAGAGTTATCCCAAAGTTACAGGTACTGTTCAAATTGGAATTATCCTTTTCGGTTTATATTGCATAAGCTACCTTAAATTTACCATATAAAAAAATACATGTTAGTATATCGTCCCACTGTAATAAAACGCCAAGTTTATGATGGTACTTTGGCATGTCAGGAAGCGATAAATAACTGGCCGTATCGAATATAATTAGCGAACCATTGCCAGATCGGCTTTAATTGGGGTCGTGGGGTATCGATTCCGTCCCCATTGACGGGCCATTTACGGCTTTAGTCTTCGTCCGGCAATTTTGCTAGCGAACATAAGTTGAATGTTGGATGTGGATAATCTAGTAGCATTAAATTTTTAACAAATCATCAGTTCCTGAAACATCTTTCTGTGTTTACTTAGAATTACTAAGCATTGATTCACCTTCAACAACATAAATTCACCGTCATCGTATATTTAAATTTTAGATAGATAAATAATTTATCACGTTCCCGTTGTCTTATACATTTGCAATTTATAGTATATTACAATCCGAGACGGACTCATTGCTGGTCAAGAGGTTATATAGTTTATCGAAAGGCTCTGCGTCGAGATAAACTAAACCTTGAGACAGTAATGAAGTTTTCCGTCGAAGTTTGTATACAATTTTATTTTCAACCCTCAATATCTGAGGCAAAAGATTTTATGGTAGGAAATAATAGTGTAAATTGGCCTTAGAAAAAATCAACTTTCACTTTTTTTTTGTCAATTTCATCAATTTTGACAAAAAAAACAAGCAGGGAAATCGGGACGGAAACGCATTTTTCCGTCCGAGGCAGGCATAATATACATTGCCGACCTACAAAAATGGAAAAGTACAGAAATGTGACAATTTCAAGAGTTTAAAAAGTCTTCAATGTCAACATTACATACACTGTGTCCGTAAAGAAACGGATAAATTCATTATTTTGAAAACGGTAGAATTTTTGAAAAATCGCTCAGACACACGTCAATTTTGTTTTTTTGTTTGAAATTTTTCGATATATTTTTCATTATACAGGGTGTCTCAAAAATAGCTCTGATAGTGTCTGAGCGATTTTTCAAAAATTCTACTGTTTTCAAAATAATGAATTTATCCGTTACTTTACGGACACACTGTATATGGTTGAAAATAAAGTCACGATTACTTGACAAAGAATTATTTATATAAAAAGAAATGTGAGATTCGAAATAAATGAGTACTCAGCATGATTCACTCATTTTGTAAATCAAAATGAAAACAAGATTCAATAATTGGAATTTGTGAAAAATATGATAAAAGTTATATCAAAGCCTTAGAAATTGTGAGTTAATTTAGGTAAACTCATTGACCTTTTAAACTTTGTGGAGCCAGTAATATGAGCCCCCAAAAATAGCTATTTTCCTATCGAGTGCGGGAAATTTCTTTCCGCAAGGGTTAGGAACTATATTTTTTCCACGAGCAAACTAAAGCTGATTTTACGAGAAGTTTAATTTAAATAAAATGCGATTGTGCAGAAGGTAGAATTAAAAATGTATTGAAAGGTATTTATAAAAAAAAGGTAAAGGTATTAAAGGTAAAGGTATAGGTGTATCAACAATATAAACAATTCCATGTCATAATGATTATTTCAAACTCAAAGCTTTCCCGCACAGCAAATCGTGCGGGAAGAGCCATTTCCCGCACGCTCGTAGAAAGATAAATAAACTATAATCTATCCAACGAAGCTACGGAATAATCAAATTACCTAACCTTCTAGAGGTTCGTTACTATTGGTCAATTTCCAGCCCGATTTACACTGTAAAGTAAAGGGCGGGTACACATTTTGAAATAAATGGGATAAATCAGAATGTAATTTCGGTTAAGTGGCGTACGCTTAGTCAAGATGTTGAAATTTTGGCTTCCAAAGTGATTGTATTGCAGTTTCTTATTTCACTATTTCACTAGAGTGTATGTTTTTCATTTATTTAAAAGTTTGAAGACTGCGAAAAAAATTCTATAATGATGATACATGATTTTTTATTATGCATGCATCATAATCAACGATTATCGCACGCTGCAGCGTGCATAAAATGATGTTTATGATGCGTCTACCTTTTCAAAGGTTTGCTATAGAAACGTTAGATCTACCTTCATTACCTAGATATTTACTTGCATACCTGCCATTTAAATTACTACTTATCAAAATGAATGAACACTTTTGAAACATTTTTGAGATTATGATGCATTCGTAATAAAAAATAGCGTATGATTGTATGATATGCGTGTATAAGAGGGCATTTAAAGCACGCGCGACATATTTCAAAACACGACGCGCAGCGGAGTGTTTTGTAAGTCGCAAGGGCTTATACACTTATATCATAATATACTATTTTATTACGCATGCATCATAATCAACGATTATCGCACGCTGCAGCGTGCATAAAATGATGTTTATGATGCGTCTACCTTTTCAAAGGTTTGCTATAGCTTATATCATAATATACTATTTGATATTAAATTATGATAGTAGGTACGACAAGCCACTGGTAATTCCACATTATGGAATTTGCAGGTATTTGTGCAGTTTAGACCAGGTCGACCAGCTCCGCCATGTTCACTCCGCAGGTTCGTTGGACAGAGTATGGTTAAATCGAAATAAGGACCACTTTTAAAAAAACCGGTATTTTTATTAAATTTTGGAAAACCCTGGTAGAGTGTTAACAATAGAACATTAACAATATAGATAAACAAATAAATTGTGCACAAAAAATTTTGTTCTACCAGATGAATTCGTTTTTTTTTTTTCATGAAAAGATATTCTGTGAGAAATGTTCATATCCACTGCGGACAATATTACGTGAGTTTATGTCTAGTTTTGACACTTTTAATTAATAAATCATGAATCTCAATGCATTGGGAAAACCCATCGATCAAAGAAGACATTTAAATCAAATGGAGTAATCAGGGCAGTTACTTTACATCAAGAAGGTTTTTCCATTAGAAGTATTGCTCGAAGACTTCAAACCAGTCATTCAGTAATATCGAGGCTCATAAGCAGACATGGAGAATTTGGTATAGTCACAAGAAAACCTTATCCTCCAAGAGAAAGGCCAACAACAGCACCTGAAGACCGTAGTTTAGTGAGATGGGTTATGCAAGATGCAGATACATTGCCACAAGAAGGCGAATATCCACACAAACTGTAAGGGATAGACTTCACGCAAGTGGTATGCGGTACAGGGTTAGAGCTGTGAGACCACAATTGACCCGAGCACAATGATGCCCGTGTACGAGCTTGGAGACATAGAGGTGAGCGATATCTGAATCGAAATGTGAGGGAAACCGTTCATTTTGGAGGTGACTATATTATATACGGGGCGCACCAACTTACATTATACAACCCTATTTATTGCCATTTGCCGACGAGGAAGGCCCTCAATTTATTTTGCAACATGACAATACGAGACCCTACACTGCCAGAATAGTTACCGACTTCCTCCAGGAGCAAAATATTGCGGTTTCAGAGTGGCCAGCAAACTCCCCAGACCTTAACCCTATCGAACATCTCTGGGATAATCTTAAAAGAAGGATTAGGAATCGCCAGCCCCCCCAAAATTTGGAGGAGCTTGAAGCCATGCTCCAGGAAGAGTGTCGCAACATCAGAAGGGATACAATTAGGAATTTGATTAAGTCTATGCCCCGTTGGTCTGCAGAGGTCGCACGAGCTCGAGGAGGCTATTCCAATCATTATTATTTATTTTTAGAAGAAATAAATAAATTTTGGTAAATCTAGAAATTAATTTTTTTCAGTTTTTTGATAATCATTTAATTAGTTTGTTTAGAAATTAGAATTTTTTTACCTTTTTTTAAACGTAAATGTTTTGTCATTAGGCTGCAGTTTTCATTAAAAAAAAATCAGAATTCAGAAGAATAAATAGTAGATTATACCACGAGTCAATAATGATAGCTATTATTCCCGAGGATTATTACGAACTGAGCCGCGTTAGCGGCGAGGGAGTAACATTCCGAGGGAATAATAGCCATTATTGCGAGTAGTATACTCTACTTTATTTACGACAAATTAATTTATTTGAGATTTTCAATGAACAAATTTCATCCGTCTCATAATTTTCAATACAAATCCACAAGCACTACACGTTTGACACTGACACTTTTGTGGAATAATGACCATTAATCCCGCTACTCGTCATTAATCCCTGAGGAATAACATATGTCATTATACCTCCAAAATCACAAATATAATACGCACATTATACATTAGTCGTAAATAAAAGTAATTATAAAAGTGGTCCTTATTTTATTTTGACTAGTTTAGCAATCGAGACAA